AAAAAACAAAGCCCCATTTATAATACTTGCCAATATCCTTGGTGTAAATATTTCCAGCACGGCTGATTTTAAGCCACCAGGGTGATGTTGCTAAATGTGGATTTGGGAAGAGAGGCACAGCAGCGCACCATCACACAGTGTTCCCACCACACAGATACAGTGGATACAGATCACTTCAAAAGCACAGATAATAACACAGTGTAGTAAATTAGGAAGTGGTGAATTTTGAGTACTTGTTACCTTTGTTTCTTAATATAACTTATTTAATCATAAACTTATCTAATTTAATTTTAATCACATCTTTGTTTAAAAATGGCTCCCCAAATTCCTGGAGTATTAACAATTTATGCTTTTATGGACTGAGCCAGCTCAGCACACCACTGGGAGTGGCTTATCATCATCCCTGGATGATTTCTTCCAAATGGTGCCTCTCACATCACCACTACGTCTTTGTTCCTTTGGGATATGGAATTGCCTTTACAGAAATTTCCCCGGGCACACATCTACTTACACATCCAGAGACATATTCTTACGCAAAACATATAAAAAGCTCTCTTGATCCAACTTGCTCATCACCCTTCCCCACAACAAACCCAAACCAATCACACCCACACTTTCATGAAATCATAGGAACATGTAGGCAAAAGAAGGAAACAGTAACAGAGGAAATGCTGAGAATGGAGAGTGAGAGAAAGTGAAAAGAAGCAGACAAAGGGAACAGAATGAAAAGGGTGACAGTAGTACAAGATACACAAAAAAGACAGAAATGAAAGGGGGTGTACCACTGAGTCACTTCTTTACTCTTAGATCTGAAGCCTGAATTATAAAACATCAGGGAATCCAGATATACTGAGTAGGCTGCCTTTACTCTTACAGGAGCCCTCTGTCCTAGCCTTCAGCCCAACTGCTAGGCTGAAGGGTGAGGGTTAAGATTCTATAAACAATCTGTCTTGAGAGGTTTCTCTCAATGAGACTTCCCATCTGAAATGTGGCCACCTGGGACACACAAGCTCTGGCAGTTCCAAATCTCCATCAGACAGCCTCCTAAGGAGTTTGGATGGCAACATGGCATTTAATCTCAGAATGGCAGCTGGGAGATGTTAACACTTCTTCTCTAATTGGGATAGTATGCTTTTAAAATAAATAGGTATTTCAAATACTCTTAATTAGACTTCCAGCCAAAGTGCTTTCCGTTTGAAGTTTGCTGATTACTTCAGGCAAAGCTAGGCGCTGCTGAACCTGACACCTGCTGTAATTCAGAAGACTCCCAGAGAGATGAGCAGAGGAATTAAGGCACAAGCCTGTGATTGAAAACATACAGCAGTTTTCCAAAGGCCCAGGGAGTGTCTGCTCCAGCTGCAAGGACCATCCCTAGGAGGGGCGGGGACTGGGCAGCAGAAAGGAGGGAAGATCTCTTGCCCACAAAGCCATGGATATGGCTTCCCAGACCCAAGATGAAAATTGCCCCTAGAGTTGAGTGGTATTTTTCACATCATTGTTTCTTTATTTTTAAATTTCCATTTTTAAATTTTAGATAGAGGGGTACATGTGCAGGTTTATTACAAGGGTACATTGCATGATGCTGAGGTTTGGGCTTGTATTGATCTCGTCACCATGGTAGTGAACATTGTAACCAATAGGAAGTTTGTCAGCCCTTGCTCCCTTCCCTCCCTCCCTCCCTCCTTTTGGAGTCTCTGATGTTTGTTGTTTCCATCTTTATGTCTGTGTGAACTCAAGATTTAGCACCCACTTACAAGTGAGAACATGCGATATTTGGTTTTCTGTTCCTGAGTTAATTCATTTAGGATAATGACCTGCAGCTGTATTCATGTTGCTGCAAAGGAGTGATTTTGTTCTTTTTTATGGCTGTGTAGTATTCCATGATGTGTACCACATTTTCTTTATCCAATCCGCCATTGATGGGCACCTAGATTGATTCCATGTCTTTGCTATTGTGAATAGCGCTGCAATGAACATATGTTTCAGTGCATGTGTCTTTTGGTAGAAGGATTTATTTTTCTTTTGGTATATAGCCAGTAATGGGATTGCTGGGTTGAATGGCAGTTCTATTTTTAGAGCTTTGAGAAATCTCCAAACTGCTTCCCAGAGGAGGTGAAATAATTTGCATTCCCACCAGCAGTGTATAAATATACCCTTTTCTCTGCAACCTTGCCAACACTGTTATTTTTTGACTTTTCAGCAGTAGCCATTCTGACTGGTGTGAGATGGTATCTCATTGCGATTTTGATTTGCATCTTTCTGATGATTAGTGATGTTGAACATTGTTTTGTATGTTTCTTGGCCACTTGTATGTCTTCTTTTGAGAAGTGTCTGTTCCTGTCTTTGCCCACTTTTTAATAGGGTTTTTTTTTTTTTTCTTATTCATTCATTTAAGTTCCTTGTAGATTCTGGATATTAATCCTTCATTGGAGACATAGTTTGCAAATATTTTCTCTGTAGGTTCTCTATTTACTCTGTTGAGAGCTTCTTTTGCTGTGCAGAAGTTCTTTAGTTTAATTAAGTTCCATTTGTCTATGTTTGATTTTGTTGCATTTGCTTTTGGGGTCTTCATCATAGATTCATTGCCTAGACCTATGTCTAGAAAAGTATATCCTAGGGTTTCCTCTAGAATTTCAACAGATTGAAGTCTTACATTTAAGTCTTTAATCCATCTTGAGTTCATTTTTGTATATGGTTAGAGGTAGGAGTCTAGTTTCATTCTTCTGCAAATGGTTAGTCAGTTTTCCCAGCACTATTTATTGAATAGGATGTTCTTTCCCCATTGTTTATTTTTGTTGACTTTGTTGGAGATCAGTTGGTTGTAGGTGTGCAGCTTTATTTCAGGAGTTTTTGTTTTGTTCCATTGGTCTATATTTCTGGTTGTGTACTAATACCATACTGTTTTGGTTACTGTAGGCTTGTAGTTTAGTTTGAAATTGGGTAATGTGATACTTCCAGCTTTGTTCTATTTGCTTAGGATGGCCTTGGCTATTTAGGCTCTTCTATGGTTCCATATGAATTTTAGAATAGCTTTTTTCTAATTCTGTGAAAAATGACATTGGTAATTGGTAAAAATGACAATTGGTAAAAATAGAAATAGCACTGAATCTGTAGATTGTTTTGGACATTTAAACAATATTGATTCTTCCAATTCATGAGCATGGAATGCTTTTCCATTTGTTTGTGTTGTCTGTGATTTCTTCCAGCAGTGTTTTACAGGTCTCCTCATAGAGATCTTTTACCTTCATCATTAGGTGCATTCCTGGATATTTTTAGTTTTTTGTGGCTATTGTAAATGGGACTGCATTCTTGATTGTAAGCATGAAAGTTTTTGGTATATGGAAATGCTACTGATTTTGTACATTCATTTTGTATCCTGAGACTTTGCTGAAGTAGTTTATCAGGTCTTGGAGTCTTTTGGCAGAATCTTTAGGGTTTTCTAGGTAAATAGTCATATCAGCAAAGAGAGATAACTGGACTTCTTCTTTTCTGTTTGGATGCCTTTTATTTCTTTCTCTGGCTTAATTGCTCTGGCTAGGACTTCCTACATTGTTGTTCCTATTGAACCAGTAACATGAAGGCTGAAGAAAAGGGCAGATGTTTCACGGCCAGGTGGCAGCCCTTGGGGATGACTCCATATCCAGGGACCTGCCAGGGTGAGCATGAAGCAGGATACAGAGGCCCATAAGGTCACCTTGGTACAGTTTTCCAGCAGAGGTCATTCTGCCTTCCAAAGTCTGGCCCAAGGAGTTAGGGCCCTGGGGCAGCCTGGCTCTTTGTTGAAGACACTTTGCAGAATCTCAATTCTAAGTGTGTGCCCAAGTCTCTGGTGCGGGGAGGGCAGTGTACCTGACCCCTCAGTCCCAGGGCCAACAGTGGGAAGCTCAGAGCTCCAGTCGCTGTGGCTTAGGTGCCCTTGTTCTATGTTCCTGATGTAATCAGTATTTATTCTATATCATCATTATTACTACTGAAATGAAACAACCAACCTTCCTAATGATACAAGTTACCAAAGTCAAATGAGCCATCATCATGACTTTAGAGGCTCTCCTCCATTTCTCCACCATTGTCCTGGGTGCTAGATTTCTCCGATTACAGGTAATTGAGGGCCCATGCCAACTCAAGGGGAGCTTTTTTAGTCTGAAATACATGAATTTCTTATTTAATCAAAGCTCTCCATAAATTGTTGATCCCAGCTAGCTGGAGAGGAGATGAGGTGGTTCTACCTAGGATACCCACTCCATCAGTCCTCTGCAAGCTATACTCTTCTCCCAGCTGACTTCATTGGGTCACATATGAAAAAAGGGTGTTTTCTGCAGATGTCCACTGCTTAAAAGGTGCCAAGGGCCTCTTAGAATATGACTGTACTGGTTTAGTGTTTGCATTCTTCATGCATTAAGGCGGGTTGACCATTGTAGTGCGCAGTAAACAGCATGAGGGCTAACAGAACCAAACTTGGAACAGAGTTGTGTTCAAATCCTTGTTTCAACACTCACTGGCTACATGACCTTGGGAAGGCACGGCATCTCCCCCACCTGGTAAATGCACTTACCTCTTTGCACTGCTGTGGATGAAAGGAGATTGCATATGAGGCTGTGCAACAGACACAGGTCTGTAAACAAATGCTGTTTTCATCATTAACTATTTCTGTTAGGATTAGTTAGTAGTGGCTCTGAAAAGCTCAGATAGGACCCTGAGGATCTGGGACACAGTGGGTGAATTTAGGTGGGGATGTGGGGTGGGAAAGGAGGGGAGGATGAGGCAACAGCTGGAAGGGTGGGGTGCCAGGTGCTGATGGCCAGGCGCAAGAACACAGGCTGGGGAAACGGATCCTGTTGGTGGGGGGGCATCCAAGGAAAGCTATGTGGATAGCAACTCTTGCCATTGTTAACTTCAGAGAGGGTTTTAAATGGGTTATCTTTTAGCTGGGTTTGGATTCCTAAAATCAGGTCAGTTTATATACCTTCATCCTCTTCCTGCAGATTCTACTTTGTACCTACCTAGGGCTACTTGCTGTATATGCCGCTGGGTGATTTCTTCCTTCAGGTGACCTGCCAAAGACACAAAAGAAAACTACAAGTGGGTTTCCAGTGGGCTGGAGGAAGACTGCCTCAGAAGCATGTGGCAAGCTACAGAAAAAAAAAAAAAAAAAAAGGTAGAGTAAGGGAGACAAAAGCAGGCATAGCTTTCAAGAGATGCCCTTCCATGATTCCTAGATTGTGTTGGAAGAAGAGGTTGCAAAGGCCTAGGTGCTGGCACATCAGTGCAAACACACATTTCACCCTTGAGTTCAATCATCTTAGGATTCGAGTATCTTAGTCTGTCACCCATAACTTTTGCTGAGGCCCTGATTCTCCTAAATGGTTTTTTCTATTATTAATAAAGGGAAAAGCAGAATTTGGTCTTTTAATAATTTTTAGGCCTACTTTAAAATCCACATCTTTCTTTAAGCTATATGAAACTGTGTCAAATAAAAAAAGATGGTGGTTTTAGCTGACAATAACCCAAATAGTTGGTCATTTGGTGTGAAACTCATATAATTCTAGTTTACATTAATAAAGGTATGGTGAGCAGGGAACAGTGATAGTTCCCTTCAGGGAGGTGACAGTTCCACTCCGCTCTACAAGTGAGGAGACCTCACCTGGTACTTGTTCTGGGAGTTACTCTTCAAAAGGAACATTTGCAAAATAGAAAATATTCAGAAGATGGTGACTGGAATGGTGAGGGGTCTGAAACCATGCCATACGAGAAATATTTAAGGTGACCTGAGACATTTAGATGTGAAGACAAGACTTGGAGAGGAGAAATGGAGATAATGGCTGTCTTTGAATATCTGAACATTGTCATATGAATTAGAAAAAGCTGTATTTTTATCTTACTCCTGAGGGCAGAAATCAAGTCAAATGAAAGCAGACTTGGGGCTTAATACAAGGAAGAAACAGCTCGCAATGAGGACTATCTCAAAATGGATTAAGTTGTCTCAAAATGGATTAAATCTTCTGGCAAAGCAATGAGCCCCTTCCTGAAAGTGTTCAAGCAGAAGCTGGGTGACCATCTGTTGGGTTGTTAGAGTAAGAATTCCTGCCCTGGGAAGGATCTGGGAGGCAATGACCTCCAGGCGTCCTCCATCTCTAAAATTCCATGATTTCGTGCATGAAGGATGGGTGAAACAGCAGCCCGGAGTTTGTTTATGTCCAAGGGCTCAGCACACTTGTTAAAATGTCAGTGCTGTCTGTATGGCATGTCCCATTTTGGGGATGTGATCAGGCCACTGGGGGATTCCAAGAAAGCCTGGAAAATTCATTGCTTCCTTGTTTAAGATATTTCTTTCCTCACATAAGTACATTCTGTACCTCCAAGGCTATAGCTGAATTGAGAATTCAAAAGATGAGTAGACGAGGAAGCAGTCACAAGAGACTTTATCACTTATGGAGAGTTCTAGGGCACTCCTAGAATGTTGCAATTGGGAGAGATGGCAGAGGTCATTCAGTTCAACTTTGCACCCAATTTAGGAATCCCTTCTACAGAAGGAAATGGGCATTTCCCTTCGGACTTGTATGTATTCGAGCAATTCCATTAAGATACATATAAGGAATTAATTATGTGGAGTTGCATCTGCTTCCCTATAACCTTCAGCTGTGTGCCTGGCCTGTTCTCTGGATCAGCACAGAAAAAGATCCTCTGTCACTGGTGGTGAGGGCCCTTCACACATCTGAGGATGCTTTGACTGATTTCTCTACCTCGACTTGCCCTCTGTGGAGGCCAAACATCACCAGTCCTTAGGTGATACCTCGGAGGCCACTATCTCCAGGCACATCGTTGTCTTGGGTAAGGGTCTGGGGCACCTGCATGTCTGTGCCTTGGTTTCCATGTGTCCCCACTGGAGAGAATTATGCATAGAGAGCATGGCAGGCCCTGGGCCTAAGCAATAATTGCACCCTTATTCCATGTGGGGGAAGGGTGGGAACTTCAGGAGTGTGCTGAGGGGGATTTGGGGAAGTGGAAACTTGACCCAGTGATGAGTATTGGTGAACCTGGATCCAACAGGAAAATGACTTTGACACCTGAGCCAGCCACAGCCCCAAATGGATCTTTTCCCCACTCGGTGCGATTTGACCCTTATTGTCCATATGAGCAGAGTAAAGACGTTGGGAACGTAAGGCTGCTGCTGGACTGAGACTCTAGGCTGCATCAAACACTGCTGAATTAAATTGTAAGACAGGATAGCACATGCATGCTCCAAATAAAAGGAGATATTGCTGTGACAAATGCAACACACCATTTAGAAACATCTCTTGATTTACAGTAAGTCATCAAAAGCTTTTTAATCCTGCAGTATGGAGAGTCAGTGACGCTTTGGTGCCCTGCCTGTTTCCTGGGTATCGGGCACAGCCTTATACCACGAGCTTCTCATATGCCTGGGTACTGCCTTCCTAATGAGCCTGGACAGCGGCTTGCTCCTTTAGAGCACACACTGGTTTGCACTGCTCCCTGGAAAACTACCTCCCTGATAATAAGTCTCCCCAATAATAAGCCTCCCTGACAATGGGCCTCCTGACACATGCTTCCTCAAGTCTGTGCCTCCCAACCCCATGCCTTGACCAGAGTAGGTGCACTCACCCAGGTAAGTCACAATTTTGAAACTCAGTTTTGGTGAATTGACTAACATCTCCCACCGCATGGCAAGTTTCCCCCACCCCCAGCAAACAAGCTTCTAAAAATAGCCTTATGGCTGATACCTAATTGCATTTCTAACAGAGCTATTCTTCATGTGCAGATAACAGTCTGTAACCTGCTGGATCTTGCAGCTTCCTGGGTTTTGGCAAAAGAAGGAGTTGAGGGGGATTGCAGAATTCACTCAGCATGCGGCTTGCTGTCATTACCACGGTGATAAATTTGCTGGTTTTGGCCTGGGTTCCTGGACACATCCCCATCCAGAGGTATGGAAAAGAGATGAAATGGAAACAGAGAACTCTCAGCCTGAGGCCGGAGACAGTCTGGGAGGGAAGTAGGGAGCCCAGATTGAGGCTGAAAACCAAAAGGGTAGGGGAGGGAAGGAATGCGCGCTGCCTGCAGGAGTGTCCGTAATTAGTAACTTTTCCTCCAGTAATTTACCACAGTACATGCTAGAAACACCTTCTCTCCCTTTTGATTCATTAATTGAGGGAGTGGGGGTGGCAGCGGGGAGCAGAGCTTACAGCAATCCATGGGAAAGCTCCAGAGGAGATGGGTGACCTTAAATATGACCGCGAGCGGGATATGTGGAGGTGGTGCTCTGTGTGGTGTGTGGGTTTTCTCTGTTACTGAGTAGTTCTAGGGAAAGTATTATCATCACGCAGAAGTGAAACTGATTTTTTTACTTCAATATTCAGTCTTCTGAATAAAACCATTTTTCATAAGCTTCACACTTTATTTTGCATGCATGCTACTTTGAGATTGTTCACCAAGTGAACGCTGCTTGGCTGGCCCGGAGGAGAGCTATTCACTTCCGACTCCCTGAGTGGCTGTCTGCTGCTCCTGCAATTTCTGGGATGCTGTGCCTCATTCAACATGTTTATGCTGCTATCAAACAATAAATACTTATCTCTCATCTACTGTAGGTTAAGCACTATGTTCTGAGTGCTCTGGAATACACACACTCGTAGAAGGCTCTATCCTGGCCTAGGAAAGTCAGTGCGGTACAGGGATCAGCAAATAGATGGCCTGTGTGCTCTTTCTTTTAAACGCCGGACCAATGGCTGGTCTTGCTCCTCTGTCAGGGATGGTTTGCTTTCCTGCTGAGTCTGAGTTTGGCTTTCCTACACAGCACTCTGGGCAGCTACAGCCCATTACTTGAAGTTGGACTTGAGATGAAGCAAAACCTCTTTGCCATTTCAGTTATTCTAGAAAATAATGACAAATCTGGGCCAGGCATGGTGGTTCATGCCTATAAACCCAGCACTTTGGGAGGCCAAAGTGGGTGGATCACCTGAGGTCAGGAGTTTAGGACCAGTCTGGTCAACATGGCAAAACTCCATCTCTACTAAAAATACAAAAATTAGTCGGGCGTGGTGATGGGTGCCTGTAATCCCAGCTACTTGGGAGGCTGAGGCAGGAGAATCACTTGAACCTGGGAGGCAGAGGTTGCAGTGAGCCAAGATTGCACCACTGCACTCCAGCTTGGGCAACAGAATGAGACTGAGACTGTCTCAAAAAAAAAAAAAAAAAGAAAAAAAAAGAAAAGAAAGAGAAAATAATTAGAAATCTGGAGGTAGACAGAGTTGAGTTCAAATTCCAGTTTTGCTACTTCTTAGTTGAATGGGCTAATTAACATCTCTAAGCCTCAATGTTATCATTTGAAAAATGGAAATAATACTATAATTGCAATAATATCTGCTTTACTATATCTCAAGATCTTTCAGAGGAGCAAGGGATAATGCACCAGCATGTAGGATATACCACGCTAGTTTTAGGTATTCAGGCACTTTCAGACATATTGGAAGGTACTATATGGTTAAGATGACAGGTCAAGTGGCTAAAGGTCAAATCAATGGTAGAGATACATTTAGAGGAGGAAAGGAGATATTGGGAAAGGCGTAATCACTACAGGCGAATTGAGTAGGCTCAGAAAGGAGCAAGGGTGTTAAGGTGCGCTTGGGAAGGGCACTCCAGTCTGACAGAACTGCTGGGACAATAATGCAGAAGCCAAGTACATACTGGTTTGGGACAGGAGCGGCAAGGCAGGGTTGAGTGGAGGACTAGGGCTGGGGAGGCCTGAGTTGTGTTCATACTGGAGTCTGGGATCCTGGGTAATTACTAAGAGCTCTGGACCGAAGTAAACGCTATTTGTCTGTTTGACTATACTACTAGAGTAGAACTGGGGTGTGGGGAGAATATGTAGAATATGTTTCCTGCCTGAGGGGCCTCTTTGAAATGGAAGGTCTAGTTAGAGGCTCTGAACTCAGAGTGTCAATTTCAGCTGTGATGTGAGAAGCCAGTTTTTTTTTTTTTTTTTTTTTGTACTAACACAGAGGATCATGATAACCTAAGGTTAGATCCCTAAAGGCTGTGT